GAGGGAGGAAGAGAAAAAAAGAGAGAAAGGGAGAAAGATAAGGAGAGAAAAGAAAGAGAAAGATAAAATCGTCTCTGCAAAATTTTGGTACCTCATTCACAGTTCTTAAGGTAGGGAAGGAGAATATTATCATTAAATCTATTTTATTTTATTTATAGTTGTGGAGTGAGGTGTCCCTAACCTCATTCTATTTATTTAGTTATTTGTTTATTTATCTCTAACTACGTAATGGTCTTGTTTATTTATTTTATTTTATCTTCAGTCTTGCACTGGTCCTATTTTAATTATCTCCAATTATGTACTGGTCCTGTTTGTTTATTTCATTTTATCTCTAGTCTTGCTCTGGTCCTATTTTAATTATCTCCAGTTATGTACTGGTCCTGTTTGTTTATTTTATTTTATCTCCCATCTTGCACTGATCCTATTTTAATTATCTACAGTTATGTACTCGTCCTGTTTGTTTATTTTATTTTATCTTCGATCTTGCAATCGATCCTATTTTAATTATCTCCGGTTATGTATCGGTCCTCGTTTGTTTACTTTATTTTATCTCTAGTAATACATCGATCCTATTTATTAATTTATATTATTCAATTATAATAATATCTATTTGTGAAGATTTGATGATATTGTAGATGGAGGTTGGACCTTGGAGATTTAAATGAGTAAATATAAATGTGAGAGGGATTAAAATTAGACTCATTTATCCTGACTAATCACTACAAATTTAATTTAAATCTTCATAAAATAGAATGTGTTGAGGAAGTTGAAACACACACACATATATATATATATATATATATATATATATATATATATATATATATATATATTATAAGATGATATTATTGTAAATAATAAATGTTTTCACTCCTTATTGTGATTTTTTGTGCATATTTTATTTAAACCTCCAACTTAAATAAATGGAGGCGTCAAATATTTCAAATTCCTTCTTTGCAAGCATCACTATTTTCTTTCCAGTTACTTTTATATATATATATATATATATATATATATATATATATAATATTGTTTCGTATTACTCTTATACAAATAATAATAATAATAAAAATGACAGAAATGATATGTCAATGTCAAAATCGGTTGTTTATATTATTATAATAATATTATTATTTTATTTTAATTATAAGATGGGATATTAAACTATCAGCACCCTTAATATTATAATTAAATTACGAAAGAATGATTTGAAAGATAAAAAATGAAAATAATGATGTGTTTTTCTATTGAAATTTATGTAAATATTATTTAATTATAAGTTATCAATTGGTAAAAATAATTAAATATCGTATATTTATATTTATAACATATAATATAATAAATATATAATTACAAATAATTTATTTATTGTTGTCGTAAATAGATTTGTACCGCAAGTATTAGTATTACTATAAAAAGAGATGCCACATGAATGATTAAAAGAAATTGAACAGAACAGGGTTTTATGTTCCATAAAAATTGTATCTTGTAATTTAAAAATGTAAACTTCAATTACGATATGCATTTCAAAATATATTATTATAAATATAATAACATCACTACTAGAAAATAAAACATTTTGCATCATCTTTATTTTAGACTTTTACATTCTATATAGGTTATAAAAGTACATGCAAAAATATCTTTCTATCTTTAGCATGTACTTTTAAATCGATTCTATTCAAAATTGATTTTAAAACTAATTTTCTAATACAGTTATTTATAAAAATGATTTTAAAATTATTATTGTTTTAAAACATACTTTTTTAATTTTGCACAGTTCTCAAAACCTATAAATTCCAATTAATCCCAGACAGTTTTTGCAGATAATGTAAACAATTATAAGTTATATAAAAGTTTATATGTGCAAAAAAAAAAAATTTAGAAACTAGATAAGGGGAAGAACCCAATAACAAATAAACATTTTTAACGGATTTCAAAATTCAATTAATTATTGTATAAAAGAAATATTTTTTTATAGTAATGAGTATTATAATAATAACGCATAATAAATATAATAATTATACATAATATTATATTAAAATAATTCAACTATTCTATAACTTCTTTATTATTTCTATATTTTCTTTTTTCTTTTA